TGCAGATGTTTTACATATATGACCATGCCAAATACCTTGTGTCAAACCAAGATGAAGATAATATTTCCATTGAATTTGTTTGAGTTGTTGAAAACAAACTTGATCAATTAAACTAATATATTGACGAATAATTTGGATCTTTTTATCTGCACTAAACAAATCATTGAACTTTTGCGAAAGATTAAAAGCTGGAGCCAAGGGGGAAAGTGCAGGCACCCGAGCATCCAAAACTGATCATAGGTGCTGGCTAGGTGCGCAGGTGCTGAGTGGATGCTGAGATGCCGAGTAGATGCTGAGGTGTTCACTAGGTGCTGAGATGCTAAGTGGATGCTGAGTAGGTGCTGAGGTGCTCATACATTTCAGGCTGAGGGTCAAGGGTCAGTCAGCCTGAAATGTATGAGCACCTCAGCATCCACTCAGCGCCTCAGCACCTATACGGCATCTCAGCACCTAGTGAGCATCTCAGCTTCTACTCGGCATCTGACCTGCACTTTCCCCCCTTGTAGTATTGTCACTTTATTTCTATTGATATATTCATGTCCGCAAAATTTATTCATAAAAAAAGAGCACATATAGAGCTTCGTACTTAATTTATTTCTTAAAATGTTCAATAGAGAAGATGACCTAAGTATTTCCAGTGTATTTTCCTCAATTGAATAATTCTTCTAAGCCTTTTCTTCGAAATTAATTTCACATATGTAACTTCTTTTTTCTTTCATCATAATTTTTAATCCAGCCTTGAACAAATGAAAACTTTCTTAATCTTATGTGTATTTGCGAAGAAAACTTATTTTTTCTTTTTACTAATAGATATTTTCTGTACAGAAATATTGAAATCGTTTTTTATTTGAAAAGGAAATATATAATAAACTATTTTGTGTAATATGTTCCTTTTACCATCTCTCTCTCAGTTCTTTTTCAAATAAAATATTGCAGAACACTTTTAAAGTATGAGGGAAATTGTAATCACGAAGAATATATTGACAGAAGAAAAAGAAAAGAAAAATATATATACTGAGTTGGAAGTGTTTTTCATTGGTGACTGAATATCAACTGGGAATTTTCCAACTGACGTAGTCGACAATGTAAAAAAAAAAGTATGTCTTGCTGATTTTATTCTACGTGATATAGTTAAATGAGAAGCGGGCAGACAATTTTTTTTTACTGATATTATAAAAGTTTACAGACAAACATCGATGATACTAATCCAATTCCTTTCAGTATTTTTAGATAAGTAGTGATCAATGAGTACCACCGAAATAGCCTTACAATTACTTAATGAGTATGGCATCAATGCGAAAGCTAAAGCTGTGATTAAAGCTGCGATTGGTCTAATTACTGCAGTCGTCAAAAGACGTCTTACATCTGAAAGTAAATTCAGAAGAATGGTTAATACTCTTATCAAAAACTATGATAAACAATCTTTAATTATGGATTCATTGGGAATTGCATTTAGCATTCACTGTTTACTGGATTCAAATAATGATCGAAAAGAAGTAAGAAAGTTTCAAGATCGATTAATATCAACTTTCAAAAATTATCCTCCAAACTTATGGGGACAACGTTTAGCTGAGATTCGACAAGACGTTGAAGATTTGAAAAGTAAACAATTTAAGATGGGAGCCATCAACTTTGTCATATCCGCTTCACTTGGTTACGTTGCTTTTGCGAGTACTGCGAATCCCCTGATACGTATCGGTGCGGGCATTTGTTCTGCTACCTGTGGAACAGCCGCTGTCATGAATGGCGTCAATTACTATAATCTACACGAGCTCATCGAACGGCTTCAAAGAGATGGACGTTTGAACTAAGTTTTTCTTCACTTGAATTGACTATTGTTGGTTTCCCTTTTCTTAAAGAATTGAAATCCTACACTCTCACAATCTTATTCACTGACACACTCAATTTAATAAACATTATAAATCATTGAAAATAAAGAATAAAATTCGAATAAAAGAAAGAAAATAACTAAGATTAAATATGTGAATGTGGATAATTGATCTCTAGTAACATCGATATACATTTCACACTGTCTTATCAACTAATATTCGAAGAAACGAAAATCAATTCATTGGATTTTTCATATGTCTTTTTTATGGTGCAATATTGTATGAGTTTTCATTCTTGTCTTATTTTGTTCGATTACTGGAACGATCTGTATATGTCATCGTAGATATTCATTCCAAAAACTGACAAATTTATAAAATAAATGAGATTTTTAGTAATCACTCTAACTTCTATATAATTCTAACAAGTTTCTTTTGCTGTTGAAACAAATGAAAATAAAAATTGATGTTTACCATAAAATTTGATTTGACTGTTTTTGAAGATCAATATGATCAAGAAAATAGAAAAAGTAATTATATCAAATATATTATTGAAATAATCGAAAGATAAGGAAATTGAATTTGTTATATAATGATACGATTAATGAATAAATATAACACAATTTAAGAAATGACCTAAAGGACATAATAACAAATATAAACTGATAACATAATCAAAAGATTGGTTTTTAGCATTGTTTAACGCGTTTGATTCAAATAAATGAGAGAGAAAAGAAAAAAAAACTAAATAAGATTAGAGTTTAACGAAGTAAGATGAAATGATAAGTTAATAGAAATTTCAACATAAATTGATTACTTTTCTGTTCACTTAAGAACTTCAAAGATAGAAACATTTTTCATGATTTTTAGGTGAGACATTGCTGTTAATTCTTTTTTTTATTTTTGAAATAGTCTCCATCATTTTCTTACGTATCAAGATTACAAATATCCAAATGATAAAATGATCAAAAATGCCTTCTGAACTAAATACAGAGATATTTTTTTCCTAGACAAGTTTTATAAGATAATAAAGCAAAGTTCTATTCAAATATCTCGTAAAAAGTAATTTATTCAAACTACACCAAAATTTTAGTTATTAAATAGAATAATTTTCAAATGGAAATGTGTTATTATTATTGAATTAATGTGGTTATTTCGAAGACTAATTATAGAAATAATGTAGATTAGAATCAATATATGAACTGAAAAATATTTTATATGATTTATGGTTATTCTTTGCTTGAAAAATGATATGAAAGGAGGGTGTGAGGATGAAAATATTTTCCTCATAAGACATAGAATGTAAGCGAGTGTATGAATAAACAATAACATTTTTATTATCCATCCTTATATATCCAGTTAGCGAAGGAAAAAAGCAGTTATATAGACCGTGTTCGTTACAGACATTATCGTTCTATAAGACGAATAATTTAGTGATGTCAAGATAAGCAAAGTAGTGTAGAGTTATCTTATGTATGAAATTTGTTGCTCACAGCAGTGATACACATAGTTATAAAACTACAGGTTGTAGTCGTATGATCAGATTGTTTGTCTTTATCCAGTGCATTTGCTTGCTTTTTATGTTCAGAAGCTAAACTATATTGTTTATTTCTTTTGTATAATTCAGCCAAATCTCGATGACTGCGTGCTATTCGTCTTTTCTTTTGACGCAATGTATTCTCATCATCATCTTCTTCTAATTCATTACATTCTAATTTGAAATCATGTTTTAATTTTTGATAAACAATCGCCGATTTGAAGTCCTTTTTTTCTTCTACATAAATTTGAACAATATTGTCAATACAAACATTTATAGAACTTTGATCACGTTCGTCTTGTTGTTGGTAGATATCAAGTGCCTTTTGATAACTGTCTAACATACCATCAGAATTTCTCATTTTGTTTTATAATAATATGCTAGAAATTCGAAACTTTCGGCGACTTTCAATCTATCGTATGGGTCATTTAAACATATGATTTCATTATATTGTTTTCTATATTTTATTGCCTTTAAACCATATTGTTTCATGAATTGATCATCTTGATAGTGTAATTCCATCTGATGAGCATAAATATTAGTCAAATGTTCACATATTTCAGTGCGTTCATACTCTGAACGAAAATTGTTAAAAGCCCTTTCGTAATATGTCAATGCTTGAGTAAAATTTTCTTCGATAGTATCATGGGCACTTCTTAACGATTGATGACAAATATCAATAGAACAATTTAAATCATCATCATTGGTAAAAGAATCCCAGATGTGTAATGCATGATGATATTTTTCTATCGCTAAGCAAGGTTGTTGCTCTCTCAATTGTAAATATTGACCGTAACGATAAATTTTGACTGCTTCGATCCATCTTTCCGATGGATATAAATTCATGAATTCATGATAAATAATATTTAGTTTCGTAACTGGTATATAAAACATTTGATATGTCAATGTACTTATACAGTTTTTAAGATTTCTTCTAGGAGAATAATCGTTCGAAGTTCGCACATCTATCGGTTCAAAATTATTTAGTAGAAGTAATTTAACTAAATAATGATTTTCTTCATTGATAAATTTGACATTCTGTACTTTAAATCGATGTCCCAACATGAATAGAACTTCATTTTCATCAGGGAACTGACTTTTGGTGTGAATGTCAGCATAAGGTGCACTTCTTTTCTTTAAATCTACTTCAATTTGAAATACTACATTTTGCAGAAACGAATTTTCATTCAATGCTGGATCTTGATACATCAACGATACATCGCGATTAGATGACGAAGAAAACATCATCGTATTTTGAATGTATAAATCTTCAGATAATCTCTGGACATCAATTTTAGGCATTTTTTGACCACGATATAATAAAAATAAAGATGATTGATTTGAAATTTTCTTTATCCATTCTTCTTGTGCTATGTGAAGTTCTTGATATAGATCTTTAATAAAAAAGCCAAATTTAAATAAAAGATGAATATTACGTTCACGAAGAATTTGATTTAATGACTAACAGATAAATATTTCCTTTGTATAAAAATAAATCGCTCCTTTTCTTTCATATTCACGTTTGAAAGTGTCAATATCATCGTACGAAGTTGAATACTGTTCTAATAAAGGTGCAAGCTTCTGAATTTCATCTTCTGGATATGTTATGTGACACAAAATATTAATCAATTCTTGAAACCATGCTTTGACTGAACGATCCGTACTTTCACCAAATTTTTCTACATCTAAACTGCAATGATTTTCAGTGGTTAAATAGAATTATACATCTTTGCGGAGATCTTTTAGTAAATCGTCAATACTTGTGTATATATCTTGTTTAACCTATACAATAGAATGACATATAGTTATCTGTATACAGAAGAATATTTGTCTGTTCGCTATACATTTAGTCTTTGTATCGATAACTTGGGTATCTATGGGAGATTTCATATCCTTTCATGTCATGAGATTTTCTACGATGTTTTTCTGGATCAGTAGATGTAGATTTCCGATACCGGTGTGAAATCTTACCTCACCCATGTAAAAAAAATACCCCAAAACATCGGATGAAAATCGATTTTTGGAAAAAAATCCATAAAATCTGATTAAATCCCGCAATTCTGATTAAATATACGAGAAAAACAGATTACCACCGATTAATAATCTGATAATCCATTAAAATTGATTAAAGGCAACAAGAAAACTGATTTACACAGATTCCAATTATCCCAACTGATTTCCATCGACTTTTTAGCCGGTAAAAATCGATTGT